GCAGTTTTTCTAATCTCACTCAGAACTGAGGAATGGTTTCCAGTTACAGATGGCCGCTGTCAGAGGAAAGCTCTCTGTTTCCACCTTGAAGCTTTATCTCTCTGCGGTTCTTTTCCTGAGCAGAGATCACTGAGAACAAACTCTTTAAATAACTTTTTATAATGTTTATGTAATAAATAACCAGGAGACAAAGGATTCTGATAGAGATTATAATTTTACTCAGAACAGTAAAACATTAGTTCTGACTCACAACAGGCTGATATTATTAGGGTTTAACAGACTCACACATCATCAATAAAATAATCATAACATGTTCAAGTTCATTTTTAGACTAGATGTCATAAACTTTACTTACTTTACACACACACACACACATACACAAATGGTGTGCCACACCATCCTTGTTGGGACACTCATTGACTTCAATGTATATTGCATTTTTTTCCCCATTCATTCCTATTCTGAGTCTAATTTTTACCAACACATACTGCTGAAGCAGTTTTATTGCCTTATAAAGCCTCTGTCATGGCCTTATACTTACATAGCAACAAAGGTCAGGTATGAGTCATGGTAACAACAAGGTCTCTAAGGGCTGATTCGTACGCAATTAGATGGTGTATGAGGAGGTTTGCCGTAAACAGAGAACTTCTGTATAAACATTCCTTCAGTGTCGAAGCAACCTTTGGCGCTGACCAGCAAACGTGAATTCCAGTAAGATGTCAACACAATATTCCTTTGTGCATGTGCATCCACACAGTGCAATATTGAGACTATAAGACAGCCTGAGATGGAATGAGAAGTTGGGAATGAGCTGAGATTGTCTGTTTGAGATGTAAAAGTGCTGTGATACGTGTACTGAGGAAAGCATGTCAATTTGATCTGTAAAATACACGCTTCTTCTCCTGTTCTGTGTGGCAATCAGCTAATCGATTGAAGGCGTCTTGATTTTTGAGATTCTACCATTCTAACATCCACAATACCTTATCAATGCTAAGCTAAACCAATTTACACCTCAGTCATAAATTAAACCCCCACAACAGGGGTCGGACACCCAAACTGTTCAAAGAGCAAAAAAACAGCAGAAAACAGATCTGTCTGAAGCTGCAAAAAAATTTAAATCTTATACATGTCACATTTTGGTTGTGGTTTGGAGGACCCAAATCCAGAGGCAGAGAGGCAGAACCATGGGGACATCAAGGGAAAACACGAACAAGGAGCCAGGGAGAGACGAGGTGAGACGACAATGATGATAGGACCAGCAACAACAGAGGAACCAACAAAGAGTGAGAGCAGAGGGAGAGCATATATAGCTGACAGAGACAAAGGCAGGGCTAACAAGCTGACAAGGAGCAGGTGTGAGAGGAGACAACAAGGGAGCCAAGGAAAACACACACACACACAAGAGGACAACAGAAAAACATGAGAACATAAATCTAGAAATTACAAGAACTGGAATTAAACCAATAAATCTAGAAAACAAGGAGCAAAGTAAAGAACAGCAGAACCAAGACCATGACAATATTATGTTTCAATGAGCTCTATGTGTTTTAGACAAGTATAAAAAATGACTAAATCGGCTTAAATACATATAATAATTCCTGATTAAATGTTTCCTTCAACGCATCCTGGAGAAAACTGACACCATTGATTTCCATTAGAGTATTATGGTTTCTAGCATTGACGGAGTAATAGAAATACAATAAAGAAATTAGATTTTGTGTGTTTTTATTGACAGAATATATATATATAAAAAATGCATATTAGGACTCCTGCTTAGTATTCCTCTGACTTGATTTTAAGCTATAAAGGTACAGGTCATTTAGCAGTTTCCATTTAAACAGCTCCTTTATTGACTCATGGCTGAAAAGGGACGAGCCAGCCTTATAAAAAGCAGGATTCAGCCAAACACAACAGGGAGTGATTAAAGTGTTTATTTATAGAATAAAGCAAGAAACTGGTCAGCAGATGAGAGAACAACCTCCAAGATGGAGAGATCGGCTGAGTGGCTGGATTTAGAAAAGCCCCCAACCTTCACAGGACCCATGAGGAAGAGGAGGAAG